TTATTTTTGGGACATTTTACAATCATTTCTTATGTAATCATTCATATCTTTATTGTATTTGATTGTTTTATTGCACATCCTCACTTTAACTTCTTATGCTTGTATATCTGTAATACATTTTTTAATTTTTTTTATTTTATTCGTGTAATTCGTGTAAAAAAACTGTCACAAACCCCACTTTCACCTGGGATTAATAAAATATTGGACCTGGTGAGCCTGATTCTGAACTCCTGTTTCGAAAGTGAAGAACTTTGAACCTGTTTTGAGGTTTTAATCAACTCTATAATCGTTTTGGAGGCTGAACGTTGTGGTTATCACAGCTGTACTTGCTGTAATTAAATTGCACTGGAAAATAAACGTTGTTACTCCCCACTGCTGCCCATTGTTTATGTCTGACAAACAGCACAGACGTGATGTAGTGGAATCACTTAATGTCTGCAGGGTGTTTGGGAGCAGGATCCTGTGCTATCCGACACTCCTCGTTTCTGTGGAGGGACGATCGGATCGAGACGGATGGCCTCGGGCTCTCCCCCTGCGAACATGAAAATGCCTCGCTAGCAGAGCAGCTACAAGTCAGCAGGATGTTGATATTATTCTACCCTCGACAGGTCCATACAGGGCACTGCTCTCATGCACACACTGGATTAAAATGCTGACATGGAAACCAGCTGCCGAAAAATCCCACAGTCATCAGAATATCTGTAATGCGTCCCTTACTAACTTTCAGGGTTGTACGCCCAATCAATGAATGATATGTGTGTATACAAAAATGTATAGTCAAAACTGTATTTATTTATTTAAATCAGAACATAAAGGAATTATGCTATTATCCTATTATGCTTTTGTGGGTTTCCCCTTCTTGTAGTAGTGTGTTATATAGGATTGTGTGCATGTAAATGGTCTGCAAAGGCTAAAATCCCAAAGTTCCCTCCAGAGGGAGTCTTTTAAAGCACTTTATGAACATTGAAGCATGTCAACATGTCACAGTAAAGGCTCAAAATACAAATATGAACCTGAACATTAGCAGAATATATCCTCTTTTAATATTGTATATGTTTTGATAGATTTATGTTTAGATTCAATATTATGTTTAGATTATGACTAATGTCATTAGTGCATCAATCATTTGGATCCAATAATACAATACAATCTAAAATGGAGCATTCTGCCTAATAAGTACTGTAACCTTTGGCATTGTAAGTACATTTTTGACGTTTACACACTTTTGTTGGTAAAATCCTCCATCACTGATATTTTACGTCTTAGTTTTCATTCTTTTTTAAACTGCCTCTTCCTTATAATGTGATTTGTAGTTTGCAGATGTGCCAGCAATTGTTTAACTTCTTCAATCAGACCTACATTGAGCAGCAGATTGCTTTTCTTTTGAAAGCATGCACACTCCATCTAGTGGCCCCTGTCAGCAGCACAGAGCTCCACGAGGGGCATGCCTGGACAGGAAGCAGCTGCATGTGTTTTATAAAGTGAAACTTAGTTCTTTATTCATCTGCACTGACACATGTCTGGCCTCTGAAGACTCAGAAGAAGTATTATGCAAGTATTTCAAGGAAATGTGATAACTATGTTTCCTGGAATCATGATTAGTTTTTTTTTGGCATAAAGTCAACACACATTGCTGAGACTTTGCAAAAAGTTTGTTGTTGATTTTCGCCATCAAATTAACATAAATATTTACAGAGAAGTTATGTTAAATTTATGATAATTTGGATTAAAAAAAAACAAGTTTACATTTGTTTGTTCATGTGTATTACTGTATATATGTGTGGGAGAGAGTGTGAGGTCATTTGAGGAGTTATCATTCATCTCTTTGGGGCTTTTATTGCTCATGTTTCGCAATCCTGGAGAAATTTAAGTGTTGTACTCTCCCGCAGGCAGGCCAATACATTTTGTTTCAATTTCGCATCTGGTTCTTATCGCAAAGTTTAGTTTGGAAAGTCATCTGACGGTAAACCGTGCGGGGGATCCTAAATAATCCCATAAAAGGTGTCATCTTCATTTGTTTTTCCCCAGGGTAAATATTTGTTATTTCCATGAAACCTTGGCCTTCCTCTGAAACTGCATCACTAGAAGCAGATGAGTGGATGGTTTAGATCATACTCCTGCTGAGTTGTGAAATCGGGAGGCATTGTGAGAGCAAAGCACAGATGCTAATGCAGAGTGTGGGAAGAAAATGAATTTTAAAGAGTGCATGTTCACTCAATATGTCAAAACGTGTCAGGCGTGTATTCAGCTGACATGCTCCGGTGGTCCATTCATCAGAACATGCATAAATGATAAAGCCAACTGCCAAATATTCTCTGGTAACAACTTCTAATGTAATATGTGCTGCGTTTCCCATGTTTATAAATACTTGTTGAACATTTTGGAGGTTTTGACTGATCAGACAAAGGCACAATGAAGAAATGAACTCTGGGATGTAATATGGAACATTTCTCATTCATTCTTTTTCTTTTTATCAACTGTAATGTTCCCTGTCCACTCCAAAATGATGTACTGTATAGGCAGGTTGACAAGAAATCTCTGTGCTCATCTTAAGTTTGAGTAAAACACATAAACATACAATGATTTTGAGACAAACTAACTTGTTTTATGTGAAAACCTTAAGCTTCCAGTGCCCATAGTGTACACTGAGAATAGACAATTTAAAGAAAAGTAGAAGAAACCTCTTGCTTTTGAACATTTCTCTCACTTTTGTCACATAGAAAAAAAACATTAAATGTGTTGTGTTACACACTATCCCTGTTTGATCTCTCAGGTGCTCCCGATCTGCTCCAGGCTCCACTTCTGCTCAGGTGTTGCTGATCTAAACTGATCACTGACACAAAAGAAAGGCCGGAGGGGAAATCAGTCTCTCTCTGGTTTTGCTGCGAGACACTGCAGTGCGAAATCATCCTTAGTTTACGATTTTTCTCTTTATTTTGTCCTCATGTCCTTTTGTTGTTTCTTTTATGCATGGAGGATCTGGGAGTCCAGTTTTTGTGGCTTTATTTCTTAGTTTAGTCTATGCATTTGCCTTTTAGTTTGGGTGTGGGGAAGGTCATACAGCCCATGGTGAGGCTGGCCAGGCTTGCTCAATCTCTCTGTTATTTTTAGCCAGTCCTCCAGATGCAGATTTCATTCAAATTAAATGTTATAAATAAGAGTATTTTTTGTAAACTCTCTCACATTTGGCATCTCAAATATATGTTTCAGGACACAAACTGAGCTACAAATGTGTTATGGTGTCTTGTGGCTGCAAGTGATGTAGAACAAACGTTCATTTTTTTGTGAAGCCTGAAGGGAAGTTGAAACGGCTGAAAAAACAAATGTGTAGAAAAAAAGAGGAACTAGGGTTGATACAAATACAACACCCACTCTTAAAATAGTAAACCCTCTAAGGGGTTGCACTTGCACCCTCAAAACAAAGCTACTAACAGCTGGAGAGAGTATTCTGCATTTGTTTTAAATTTAAAAAGGTCCAACAACAATCACGCCGATTGTTTCCCATCGAGCATATCATGTCTATAAGGTTTGACATATTTCAGTATCATACAGAGTTGATCCAAAAGCTTGGTTCAACAACTCAAGAGAGAGAAGTCATGTTGTGCTCATAGCAGCAAATATTACAGCTATCAAAAACAACAGCAAGGTATTTATTTAAGAAACAGTGTCCCAGTTACTACAGATTATTCGCTGACTGTTTTCATTGGATGTACTTTCTAAAGAAATAGTCCCTGTGAAAACTGTTGGCAGTGAGCTCTGTGGATTATCTGAAGAAATGGGGACAATTCTTCTGGAAGAACGAAACATACAGTATTGCTGTTGATTTTGTTTCCAATGAAGGACAAACATAATTTAAATCTGTCATTATATTTGTTTGGCAGAAATGTAAGAGCTGAATAAAACCCAAGTATCTGCATCGCTTGACGCCATGCACTGGAGGTAGGTGAAAATATGTAATTTGAACTGAAATTAACATCACTGATATGTTGTCTGCACTTTTCAACTGTGAGAAAGAGTTTGCACACTCCCATCCTCCAAAACAACTTTGATGTTTGAACACTGCCTGTGGAAGAACATTTAGGCCAAGCAAAGCTCTGAAGTGTGTCGCTGGTGGCCCGGGGGCTTCCACAGATCTTTTAATGTGGTTGTATGAAATAAAATCAACATGGTATAGGGTCAGTGTTTGATGTACTAGAAGTGGCAGAGAGAGTTTAAAGAGGCTGAAGCCAAATACTGTATTAGCATCATTACGATTCCTCGCATCCACCTTGAATGTACTTTTCCAGCTCCTGCTGCAACAGCGGCATAACTAATAAAGTGTGTGTAAATTCAGCTGCATTATACAGAGAGAGCATCATGAGCCTTCCTCCCCAGCGGCTCACTCATGTCTGATGATAATAGTAATGATGTGCAGGCTATCTGCTGCCCCCTGCGGGCTCACAGTGGTACCGGCCATGTGATGGAGGAAGAAAACCCCTCTAATCTCCTTACTGCAGCCTGGCGTGCACCGTCCAAAGCACGCACAAACACACAGGCGCAATGTGGTGGCAAACGAGATTGTAGACGCATTTAGTTTTGGTTTCAAAACAAACCAAAATAACACACAATATGTGGTGAGGATAATCTCATAGGTTCTGCTTCTTGCAATTGAAGTGAAAACATGGAGGGTATAAAAAAAAAACTTGATTTAAAAGAAAAACAATGTTTTGCAAATAAATCAATAGTGTGGAATATTTGAGCGATTTAAAAACAAACTTGATTCCAGAATTTGATTAAGGTATGATGCAGCCTTAGTTCTTTTTTAAATATAGTGTTGTTGAGGGGGGAACTAATTCATTAGAATAAACCGATGCTGTGAAAATAGCATGATGCGTCTGTCAGGCTCACACACATGCGCCTGTTCGCTCTGCCCGCCCACTCCGGTGATGTGCTGCAGCTGATTGGCTGCTAAACATACAAGCGGCTGTGTGCGCGCTGTGATTGGCTGCGGCTCTCCTGGCCATTACGTTATGCTTACTCCACACACACAGGCAGTTTGAGAGAGGGAAGACGTAATGGTTTGATTCCCTGTGCACTTGCAATGGTCGTCGTTCTGACATTACTCGGCAAATTCTTTAACCGGGAGGTTAAATGAAGGTACGTGATTCAGCTGCAGGTTGTTTTACGCTCTGGACCCTCTTACGATGCAGATTTAAGGTTGATTTACGCACGATGCTGCACCGAGAGGCAGGGAATACCTTCAGCGTAATGCCAATTAAATGTGTTTGTGTGCACTTAATGTAATTACATCCACAGGCTTGCGTTTAAATGCAGCATCCACTGTTTTGGTTCAACTTGACAGCATGACATCTTCTCGCCGGTGCCCTTCTCTTTCAGTAAGATTTTTTTATTTATTTCCCCGGCTAGCTTGCAAGCCTTCTCCTGCAGTCTTCTGGATAAACAGGAGGTACAGTGTGTAGCCTTTTTAACGAGCTCGCTGTGACCCCAGTTTGATAGTTCAATGGACTAAAGCCTCTGGAGCGACGTCCATTCATGGTCAGGCTGTTAATCCGGTCTAATGAGATAGAGACTGCGGCCAGAGAGAGGGGCAGTGCAGGGATGTTTGGAGATGTCTCGGTGTGCAGAGGGACAGATTCTCCTCTCAGATCCGAGTCAGGAGCCTCCTTCCTCTCTGTGGAGTGTGTGTGTTTGCTGCAGCACAGGAGAGGGAAAGGTGATGATGCTGTCTGGCAGCTCAGGAAGGATAATGATGAAGATGATGGCGATGATGTCATTGGCGCTGGTGGCGCGGCAGGTTTGTAGTGACAGTCACTGTGAGAGTTGAGGTGAAGGCATGAAGACTGCTGCTGCTACCACCATCACCATCATCATCACCATCATCATCATCATCATAATAATCATCATCATCTTCAGTGTTGTACACAATATGAAGAGCAGGCTAATCACTTGTTATTGCAGTTAACCTGTGCTGATTGAATGCCTCATATTTATCTCTCCATCAATGAAGACTTGTGGATAATGTCCCCATTTTGCAAATAAAAACCTCTCTTATTGCAAAGTAAATAAGTAAATGTACTCCCATTTATACTTGTAATTCGTACAAAAGGCTTCTAATCTGGCTGGCTACTAAAAACATTTACAAAACTCCCATAGTTGCATCCTATTATTCATTTTTTTATTAATTTGATTTTACATGTACAACTTACAGGGAGATCTTACAATCTAATGCAGTGGAGAGAATAAACATGATAGCGGTATCTGACGCTTCAATGATTTGCTGCAATCGCAAAAGTATCTTTGATTACACACAATGCAACAATAATGTAACACTGAATGGACACAGTCTTCACAATGAATGATTACATTTTCATTCTGCAAATACCTCAACACTTATGTATGTCTCAACGCAGTAGGTCAAGTACTTCAGTATTGTTTTTTTACATTATTGTTAAAGACAAGGGTGCTTAACTCCAGCAGACAGCGTCCCTGTGTCCCAGGGAAACAAACTGGACGTGATGTTTTATGGACTAATCTGGTTTAAATTGAAAAGCAGCTTTTCTGCCCATGTTGAACAGACTTGTTGTTGGCTGAATTGTGTAAGCATACATCTCAAAGCGGGACGGACCACGGTGTTATCAATGTCAATTTAATCAGGGATAGACCTATAACTTATATATACGATTATATATGTTGTATTTAAAACCCTCTTAGCGTTTCATTTTCCATCCATCGTGGCTGCAAATACTCTGATGAATTCATAAGATGTAACACTAATGTAGCACAGTGGATCATGATTATTCCAAATGAGACTAAACTCCTTTAGGGCGGACTGCTAAAGTAGGTGAAGAAGTGTAAAGAGTCCAGGGGGCAAGGCAGATTTCTGGTGTTGTAAAATAGTCCAATCAGGTTTTGTTATTGCAGGATGATATCCACAGCAGTTCTATATCTGTTTGTATTTCTGCACCACATTTTTTCTCGGGGCTAAATCCTCCGCTAGTCCTCCCCTGCATTTGGAGCAAATCGGTTATTTTGCAGACACAAATCCAAACTTGGCTGCAGCAGCCTGACTTTCTGTGCATATCTCTCCAGACTTCATTGGATCAGCAGGCTGCAGCAGACTTCACTGAATATCATTTTGAGTGATGGCTCTTTTAGTGTTAGAATTATAGTGCTGCTTTTTGGGGAGCCTTATTTTGGGGGGTAAGGAAGGGAGGGAGGACACTGTGCACCTTTCTATGTGCAAAAATATGACATCAATGCAGTCTAATATTGTCAAATTCTAACAGCCATCGTATAGCATTCCATAACTAAGTCATAGAAAGGGAGGCCCCTCTCATCATTATTAGAAAAATAACAAAAGACAGTCATTAATACGATTATTTTTTATTGGTGGCATTACCCTCCAGTCTTAACACCGATGGAGCTGAATTAACTTTTCACAGTAGGAGTGACATTTCCAGATGGAAAAGATTCACTGCGAGAGAGAGAGGAAATTAAATGCCCGAGAGAGAGACAGTGGATGATGGAAAGATAGTGGTAATGACTCTAAAATGTTCCATAGTGCACAGTTGTTGGCACTGAATATTGCTTTTCGAGTATCAGTGGCAATATTAGATTTACAGGATTTATTTTCAGGAATTTAACGAAGTACCTTAATTATTAGGTGTTTCATTCATTGGATTAACCAAAAATGTTCCTATATATAAATAATCATGACAATGAAATTAGTATGAGGGATGATTGAGGCTACATATCCCATAATGTAATTATAAAGCATATTTTATTAACGCCACTGCCTGCTAAATCCTTTATTCATCAAAGGACTCAACTCCAGTTTTAATGCAGGCTTCCTGTTAAAAAATGTAAGTCTCAAGCCAAAAGTGAAATAACAGCATCAGCCGAAATGACCCCAATGACATCATCAGGGGTGTTTTGTCTCAAGAAACCTCCCCTAGAGCCACAAAACATTTCTTACAACTATTGAACAGGCTGTGTAGGACTCCTTGCAATGAGTAAACTAACCTTCATGTGTAAAAACGGTGGAGTACGTTGAAAACCTAAACATTTTAAATTGCATTATGTATTTGGTCCCAAGCGTCCTTGGGTTTATGAAAGGTGCTATAAACATTTAAGTTATTCTTTTTTGTATTCTCATTTGTTCAATCAACTACAAACTTTTCAGCAGCAAATAACTCAAACGTCACTTGATGTTGTTTTCTCTGCTTATGAGTCAGACTGGTTTTAGTTTGAGTTTAACACCTGTGTATCATCACGCTTCATCAAGGCTCCTGTGTCAAACAGTTACACTTGTCTGTGTCAATCCAATTTGAGATTTTGATCCTGAAAAACTCATTTTATGAGGCGAGATCACGGCCTGAATATTGCTTATTCTTCTCAGTTTTTGGCTTTTTCTATTTGAATACATACCCTTCTTGTTGCCTCCCCCCCTCCGTCATTTTGTTTGTTTGTGCACACTGGAGCTGGATTGTTATTTGATGTTGAGGATGGAGCAGCAGTGTGATGAAGTACCTCAAGTGTCACTCAAAAAGGGTCCAAAGGTGATTGAAATCCGAGAGGTAAATCTTACTCCTATTGTAGCTGCAGAGAACTATAAATGCTACATATAAAAACAAAACAATGTGTGACATTGTGGCTCCTTGTTTGTTGTTTGTTTCGGGACTCCCTGTCTGCAGAGCTTACGGTGTGCTAATTGAAGTGACACAGGGAAGTCGTGCTGCTGGCTTAGATGCAGAGAACACTCATGATTGCACGGTCAGACTGCAGCGGCTCCTCGTCCCGGAGAAAGCACTAAATATCTCTTTTAGTGGCTTCACTCAGGGAGGCTGTATCTAACTTGGGAGACTTTTTAGCAGCTGAACACCAGGTCAAGTTTACGCCATGGACAAACAAATAAAGATGTTTTAATGCATCATGGTTTTATTGTGCACATAAAAATTGCAGAGTTTATCAGGATAAAGTGAAATGTGGTAGATTCAACTAAGGACAATACGCGTGAAACCAAATATTCTCAAAAAAGTAGTGCCGACACATTACAGAAAATTAAAAATCCCAATATTGATAATATGTCTAACCTTTAAAGTGACTTTTTGAGCAGTAATGCCAACATTCACTTCTTCCTGCTTCTTAAATATTCCAGGGTTTAGGACTATTGGTCAGACTGAACAGCTATTTTAATGTCTGTTGATAAAAGTGACAGTCCATCCAACGAAACATGGTTCATTTACAGTTTAATAACTCTTGTACCCTTTCAAATATCCATCCTGGCTGTTTTGCTGCCGAAGGGGCTTCCTCCTCCTTGCCGTGACTCCACATGTGCTTCGTTACTCAGATTACATAACGAACCCCACAGCAGATGGGTGAAGTCAGATCACAAGTTGGAGCGAAGCGCTGCCTTAAGAAGCGCCGTGGCAGGACCCTATGAATTCAATTGTTTTTCCGCATAGAGCCGGGAACCACAGAGGGCTTACATTATGCTCATGTCAGCTATTGATTCTGCAGGCCGGGGAACAACAGAAGATATATTCTCTCCTCGCTGCCCGCCCCCTCCCTCCTCCTCTCATCAGTATGCTCCAAGGAGCCGTGGCTCGCATCACGCCATCTTTGCTCCCTGTGTCTGGCCCTTCTTGTGGTCAGCAAGCACATCCGAAGCACTTTAACTGAGCAGGCTGAGCACACTGACTGACAGCTGGTTCGCATGTTTCCTCAGGACACACAGGCAGCATTTGACCCTCACAAGTTATTTGTTTACACATCCTCTGCTTCTGTGTGGATTATTTTTCTATCTATCCTATTGAGCAAATGTACGCAGTGACTGGGAAATGTAATCCGCAGCTCTTTGGAGATTGTCATTAATAGGAGCTTTTAGAGTCTAATCATCACTAACCTCAAAGACTGTTACAAAGCACTCTCAATAATGTGCTCTAATAATCCATCTCAAAGTTCTGTGATGGATGTCTCTAAAAGTTTGGAATGTGAACTTATGTGTGTGTGTTTGTGTGTTTGTGTGTGTGCTCTGCAGGCAGGGGCATCGTCCATGTGGGCGTCATGCTGTGGGCTGCTGAACGAGGTGATGGGTACGGGCACGGTGCGGGCGCAGCAGCCGGGGTTCGGAGCCGGGGCCGGGCCCTTCCGCTTCGCCCCCAGCGCTGGGTACTCCACCTATCCCCCCACCGCCTCAGGGAGCGCCGGACAGCTGTGCAAAGCCTGCGGACTGGCCTTCTCCGTCTTCAGACGCAAGGTGAGCGGAAGAGAAGACATGCCAGGGGGGGTTGTGTGGTATCAGATGATAGCGGTTTCACACGGTAAGATGTGATGTTGGTTGAAGGCAAGGTTCAGAATATAATATTGAAAGACCCACCAGTGCATGTTTCAGCCTTTTTTTAATACAAACCTTATTCACTGTACATTTTCCAAAAGAAAACGTTATGTTTGACTGGATGATTTCACCTCATTCATTTTTCAAACTAAACCTGCTCGAGTAATCCTTCTGTCAACCTTTAGTCAGCCTTTTTCTGAATTATGTAATCATTGCGTGCAGTTGTGAGCAGGGACTCTCACTCGAGGTGCATTCAAGAAAACACTGACATTCATAATTGCTAAGTCACTTTTTGTACAGAGAACTTTTAAATGCAATTCAATGCAATGGTCGGCAGCCTTACAAGTCAGACCGGTCGCACACAAAAAAAGGATCTGAATAAATCCAAGCATGTTCCTTTAGGAAAAGGCACCATTTATATTCATAGTGGCATTTGCAGAGTCTGTGCACAGCTGAACATGTCAGAGTTTAATGGCAGAGTGTATCTGTCTGGCAGTCACACACACTGAGACGCTGATGAAAAGCTGCAGCTTCCTGTCGGCACCGCTTCAAATTCGCTCCATCGTCATCTTCACACCAGTTGCCTTTCTGATGGCAGGTCGACACACACACACACACACACACACACACACACACACACACTGTAGTGTAAGCAGGATATTGTGAAAGAGTAACGTGACGGGGGGGATTTAAAGCACATGATTGAAGAAAAAGTGTCCGTTGCAATGCAAATGTGCTTCTGGTGGACCAGAGCACATTTGTTCACCAGTGATAAGAAAATGTTTACAGCCGTGGCTGACCTGCTTTCTGCCCATTTGAAGTGTCAATCTACTCTGCTGCACTGTATCAGGAGACGGTGTGAAGCCTGTAAAATGTCAAACATCACTAGGAGCTTTCCCAGAAAATAACTGAGCCCATGCTGCCATTTCAGATGGGACTTAGTTTTGTGGGCCATGGGGACACATTCAAAGATAGCAGACTCTCTAGGAAATACATAATTAACAATATGGCTGTTTGGAGATATGATTGAAATCATTAATATAAATCAGATTTTTTGGGGAGATATTTATTCGGATCGTAATAAAAAAAATGCCCATCATGATTTCCCAAAGTACATTGCTAGTTTTATATAAATAAATCAGAAAGGAGAAAATCCTCACATTTCAGAAGCTTTAGTATGATAGCTTAAAGAATTAAACATTATTGATTCATTTTCTGCTACATGACTGGACTATTGGTTAATCAATCTGTCGTTTTCGCACTTGTATCAATATGTCAGTATATTCTCAAAAGAAGCATATAACAAGTCGATACATAAGAACCATCTTTGTTCACCTGTTGCAACCCGTTGGACAAAAGTGAACTCTCTACACCTCAGTCATTCATATAGTTTGTAACTACAGTTGGATTAAAATAATGAACTGAACAAATACAAATGAAGTCGTTATACCACTGAATCAGATCTGATCTTGAACAATCACCAAGCCATGCTCAACACATTCTGCAAGTAAAACCTGTGTTGTTGATTATTGTGGTGTTACTATCATGAGCAGAAGGAGCAGCTTCAGTTTTCACTGACAGTTTCATCATTTGGCCCATTTTTCACAGCTCAAATCAGTGAACTAGTTTTGAGTAGATGGTTAATTTATTAATCAAAAGTGACATGGAGAATAAATACTTGAATATGCTAACAGAACTCAGACATCAAGGCCTATTTAGAAATGATAAAAAAACAGTTTCTGAAACCATTTGTGTTGCAAAGAAGAAAAAGTTGATCACATCTTGCTGTCTTTGCCTCTCCCTCTGCTGGGAAAATACTGAATGTACTCTTCCAATATCAGAGTACACATGATAACAAAGGCCCTACGTAGCTGTGTACACGACAGGATGTATGATTACCTGCGTCAGGACACACTGTTTGAGGCATATGAGAGCTATGTGACAACGATTAACATGATGATACAGCCTCTATGGAGATAGACATATGACAAGCATGATCATTTCTGACGTGGGTCTTAGCTAATCTAAACTAAACATTGTATACTGCTTTGAACCGGTATTCCTGCATCGTGTGACCGTGTAACACCCTCTCTTGTATAAAAGCATGTGAAGGACACTGTTCAGGAAATAGTTGTACCAAATGCTCTGTATGTGATGACCACCTCCATTCTTTCAAGGATAATAAATACATGTATCCTGATATTGAAGCTCAAGCCGGTGACGAGTGATATTTTTCGGTGTCTTTGGCTCTTTTCTGCTGTAACAATATAAATGTCCCCTCTGTGGGACTAATAAAGGTATTCTGATACGATACGATAATACTTTATTGGTCAGATCAAGTCTGAACATTTGAATTGCATCACAGGGTTGACCAACAATCTTTGAGCATATTTTTAAGAGGTGGAGCAGTTGATTCTGATTCTGATTTTCTAACACCCTCCAACAGCACATCTGCTGTGACTGCAAGAAGAGTTTCTGCGCCCTGTGCTCGGTGCTGCAGGAGGAGCTGCGCTGCTGCTCCACCTGCCACCTGCTCCGCAGCACCGCCTTCCAGAGGCCGCGGCTCATGCAGCTCCGCGTCAAAGACCTACGGCAGTACCTGCTGCTGCGCAACATCTCCACAGACACCTGCAGGGAGAAGGAGGACCTGGTGGACCTGGTGCTGTGTCATCAGGGGACGAGAGAAACCCCCACACCGGTGGAGGGAGAGGACGAGGAGGACGACGACGAGGAGGAGGAGGAGGAAGACGAGGAGGACACGCATGAGGACGACGCAGAGGAGGATGAGGAGGAAGACGAAGGGGAGGAGGACACAGACAGTCTGCACTCGCTCCCCCACTCGCGCCCCGCCTCCCCCCCCTCCGCCACGCGCTCCGCCTCCGAACAGTCGGCCCTCTCCGCCTCTCAGGGAGACGTCCTCAGCCCCAGTGACAGCTCAGGGACCAGCCAGGTGAGAGACTGAGGCTCAGTGTGTGTCTGCATATAGAGACAACACTGTGCAGACACACACACACACACTCACACACACACTCACACGCTCCCTTGTTATCTAATTTGCATACGCCAAACTTCCTTCACATCTGTCCTCATTCTATCCAAGATAATTAATTTCAAAGGTGAAATCTGCTTATTTACATGTGTCAGTGTGAAGTCAGGAGAAGACTTCTTCCTTTTGACTGCCTGACAAACAAATGCCCTCTTTCCTTAGAAGTTGTTTCATTCATTTTGTTTAACACTTTATTGTGCTTGCTTTTTGCTATCTTCTTCGTTTGTATGGTCTTGAGGTGCTTTGCTCGGAATGGAGTTTTTTTTACTCAACATTCCAGTAGATTTCTTTCCCACATTAATATTATACAAGCTCAGATTTACTGAGATGCTATAATGTGTGTGTGTGTGTGTGTGTGTGTGTGTGTGTGTGTGTGTGTGTGTGTGTGTGTGTGGTGTGTGTGTGTGTGTGTGTGTGGTGTGTGTGTGTGTGGTGTGTGTGTGTGTGTGTGTGTGTGTGTGTGTGTGTGTGTGTGTGTGTGGTGTGTGTGTGTGTGTGTGTGTGTGTGTGTGTGTGTGTGTGTGTGTGTGTGTGTGTGTGTGTGTGTGTGTGTGTGTGTGTGTGTGTGGTGTGTGTGTGTGTGTGTGTGTGTGTGTGTGTGTGTGTGTGTGTGTGTGTGTGTGTGTGTGTGTGTGTGTGTGTGTGTTGTGTGTGTGTGTGTGTGTGTGTGTGTGTTGTGTGTGTGTGGTGTGTGTGCTGTGTGTGGGTGTGTTGTGTGTGTGTGTGTGTTGTGTGTGTGTGTGTGTGTGTGTGTGTGTGTGTGTGTGTGTGTGTGTGTGTGTGTGTGTGTGTGTGTGTGTGTGTGTGTGTGTGTGTGTGTGTGTCGCGATGCAGCTTAAGCCCTTTGCTTTTTTTAGGTCTTGTACACAGGCTGAGTCTGTTATGTAACGGGTGCACAGGTTCAGAACTCCCCACAGCTGCATCACAAACACTACAGTACATCCTCTTATCCCTTATAGATCATCTCTTCCTCCTTCTCCTAGTTTGTGATAGACTTTCAGATTCTTGTGGGTTATTCATGTTTATAGCCCAAGATACATAAGTGTGAAAATCACTGCCAACCATCTCTTCTACAAGGAAGCAAAAATATGTATATCAATTGACTTGTTAGTATTTATTGAAACACAAAATCAATCGGCAAATTGCCTAAGGTCTTCTAGATTTTAAACTGAAGTATGAATATTAAATTATCCTAATTACCATACTTGGATTCATAGTGTTTGCATTAAAGACTATGTTTAAACCAATGCAACCAAAACAAAGATTTGCAATGTTTTTTTTGTTTTTTTTAACTCCTTCATCATTCTCTTAAAACGCTTTTACTTTTCCAATGTAAACCCTAATCAACCAGATTACTGGAAAGGGACACGTTTAATATAATTTAATTTGAAATAAGATATTATAAACTGTATTTGTCTATATTTATTTAAACAGCTTTTTAAAACTGACATTAATTTAGTGTGTATGACACATGTTAATGCAAATGGTAAAAAACTAATCACGTGATATCTAGTTATGGTGCTGTTTTTAGTATGAAGTCAGTTTTTCTTGTTTTTAAGTATTTCGCTGTAAACTACTGCAATAAAAGGAAGAAATCTGGCTCATCTATTTACACCCGGGTGAATATAATAATCCATGCTATTTACACCCGGGTGAATATAGTAAATCATGCTATTTACACCCGGGTGAATATAGTAAACCATGCTATTTCCACTCGGGTGAATATAGTGAACCATGCTATTTCCACCCGGGTGAATATAGTAAACCATGCTATTTCCACCCGGGTGAATAAAGTAAACCATGCTATTTCCACTCGGGTGAATAAAGTAAACCATGCTATTTCCACTCAGGTGAATAAAGTAAACCATGCTATTTCCACTCGGGTGAATATAGTAAACCATGCTATTTACACCCGGGTGAATATAGTAAACCATGCTATTTACACCCGGGTGAATATAGTAAACCATGCTATTTCCACTCGGGTGAATATAGTTAACCATGCTATTTCCACTCGGGTGAATATAGTAAACCATGCTATTTCCACTCGGGTGAATAAAGTAAACCATGCTATTTCCACTCGGGTGAATAAAGTAATCCATGCTATTTACACCCGGGTGAATATAGTAAACCATGCTATTTACACCCGGGTGAATATAGTAAACCATGCTATTTCCACTCGGGTGAATAAAGTAAACCATGCTATTTCCACTCAGGTGAATAAAGTAAACCATGCTATTTCCACTCGGGTGAATATAGTAAACCATGCTATTTACACCCGGGTGAATATAGTAAACCATGCTATTTACACCCGGGTGAATATAGTAAACCATGCTATTTCCACTCGGGTGAATATAGTTAACCATGCTATTTCCACTCGGGTGAATAAAGTAAACCATGCTATTTCCACTCGGGTGAATAAAGTAATCCATGCTATTTCCACTCGGGTGAATATAGTAAACCATGCTATTTCCACTCGGTGAATAAAGTTAACCATGCTATTTACACCCGGGTGAATATAGTGAACCATGCTATTTCCACTCGGGTGAATAAAGTAAACCATGCTATTTCCACTCGGGTGAATAAAGTAAACCATGCTATTTCCACTCGGGTGAATAAAGTAAACTATGCTATTTCCACTCGGGTGAATATAGTAAACCATGCTATTTCCACTCGGGTGAATATAGTAAACCATGCTATTTCCACTCGGGTGAATATAGTAAACCATGCTATTTCCACTCGGGTGAATAAAGTAAACCATGCTATTTCCACTCGGGTGAATATAGTGAACCATGCTATTTCCACTCGGGTGAATATAGTAAACCATGCTATTTCCACTCGGGTGAATAAAGTAAACCATGCTATTTCCACTCGGGTGAATATAGTAAACCATGCTATTTCCACTCGGGTGAATATAGTTAACCATGCTATTTCCACTCGGGTGAATATAGTAAACCATGCTATTTGCCCGCGTTAATTTAGTAAACCATGCTATTTGCCCGGGTGAACATAATAATCCATGCTATTTCCTACCGGGTGAATATAGTGAACCATGCTATTTTCACCTGGATAAATATAGTATGAATGCCTCTGACCAGTGCCTAAAGAGTTTGGATACTGTGTATCATTGTGCATTACGTTTTGTTACTGGATATGGATATCGTGTACACCACTGTACTTTGTATGCTGCTGCCAAATGGCCATCTTTGTCTGCACGCAGACTTTCCCATTATTTGGGTTGTGCATATAAATCTCTCCTTGGGCTGGTTCCCTCTTATCTGTGCAAATATATGTGTATAAAACAAAATCTATATGGCCTACGCTCTGTTGATATTATACAGATGTTGGTTCCCACAGTTAGAACAGTACTAGGGAAAAAAGCTTTTAAATATGCTGCCCCTTCTGCCTGGAATAATGTACAGAAGGAGCTGAAACTGTCAGATTTGATCACTATGGGGGAGTTCCAGTCTTTTTTAAAGGACAGAGAACCAAATAATCTTGGTCGATGTGATTGCTCTTATATCCCCTAATTGAAGTCATTTTAAAATTGTGCCAGTTTTATGCTTCATAACTGTTTCTTTTATTTGCATATTGACTGGATAATGTGCCATTTCATTTGTGTTTTACGACAGCTGTATTCGTCTGCCTGTATTGTTTGTGTTTATTTGTTGTAACATTGTTCATGCTGCCCTCTTGGTAATCTCCATGAGATGTTTAACCTGTATAAAGGACATATATAGTGAACCTTTGTTGTTGCACCCGGGAGACAATAGTAAACCATGCTATTCGTGTAAATAGCCAAATACATAGCTATTTTCGCCCGGGTGCAAATAGACACCCCGATATTTTAACGCACATTGAACGTCCCTCAAAATGTATTTGTCTTAAAATAACCCGTTTAGCAGCTTGTGCAGCCATGACAGAAATATGTGCTGTCTGAGTGCTTTCTAGTACTTCCACATGTTTGAAATGCTGAATTAGATCTAACATCGAGTCAAAGAGTCTGTGCACAGAGGCTTTGCTCTTCACTCGTGTCGGCTGCTGCTGGTGTTCATGTCTCTGAGGAGTCTAGCCTGAGTAAAAGCATTGAAGCACCATGACGCTGACGGATACATTATTAACTCATGTTCATCCGACGAAGATGATTGGTGTTCTGGAATGTGCCCAAGCAGAGAGACACAAAGGTTTTTACGGTACAGAAACAGTCTGCACTGCAGCGTGATGTCACACATTTACAGCTCATTTCAGCCCTTCACATGCTCTCTTTTGTCAAGCTGATAAACGAATAAAGAGACGATATCTTCCCTTCAAAGCTCAAAAATGACTGAGATAACACAGAGCTATACACTCACGCCAAACAGTGTCTGCACTATTCTGTAGCTCCATTTACTCTCCTTTCATCTGGCAAATTCAACCCCTCCACCCTCAAAGAGAATAATGAGCCACAGTCAGCGTTTAAAAATCTTTACTCCTTCATTAGATATTGAAACGGTTGCAATTTAAAGAATTAGATAGTGAAGAGCTGTGAAGTTGTTTTTTATCATAGCATTGATAGACGACGTATCGAGCTATAAGAAAGTTGAATGAAGTTTAGGATTTCAATGTAATCATTCTGGTAATGAGACAAACAAATATGTGTCTATTTGAGTATTTGACTTCTTGCTGTTTAGCTGACTTACATTGCATTTAGGAGGTTCTTAACTTATTCTTATTCTTCTAAACATATTTTAAACTACACAATTCAATATCATATTTTTAAATTCGACTTTGACACGTGCTGTGTGCTTTTTTTTTTCAAACAGCATTTGTTTTGAGTCGAGTGATTTCATATGTGGGCATTACCTTGAATTAACTTTCTACTTTCTACTCAAACAGGAACAAGAGGATACTCCAACAGCATCTCTTTTGAACCTGGAGCCCACTGAAACTTTAATGGAGGTACAACACTTGTTTCTTTGCACATTTCCCGTACTACATAGTGTTAACAGTAGGATGTAGTATAGTATATAGATTTCTTTAGACTGACAAGGCTTTCAGGTAGTGCTGACTGTTATTGACCGCAGCTCTGATCCCTCGTGGATTGCAGGTCAGTCCGGCGACACAGAGGAGGATCAGGGCCTCGCTGTCTGATCTGGACAATGAAGAGGCGATAGAAAACCTCTCCGTGCGCCAGCTCAAAGAGATTCTCGCCAGGAACTTTGTCAATTACTCCGGCTGCTGCGAGAAGTGGGAGCTGCTGGAGCGAGTGCATCGACTCTACAGAGAAAATGAGCATAACAGGAAATCCAGTAAGCATTTGACTTTTCCTCTTTTTGCATCTAAAATAACACATTGTGACCTTCAATGTTTTGTATGATAAAAACAATACCGAACACTATTTATCTCTTTCTTTCAGTGGAAAATGTGAGCTTAACACCTAACACATGTGCAGGTAAATATCGTTTTTTGATTATCATATTTCCATTGTTTAGACTGACAATGCTTTATAGTGAACACTAATGTTACCGTATTAAATCGACATGCAAGTGCAGTAAGCTCCCTCCTGTGATGTGATTTCAGTGATGGAAAACAACATTGTTTTAAGTTAAAGGCTTAATCGAATGTTTCCTGGACTAATATTTCTTTATTACTGTCTATTCTTATCTATAAAGTGGTTGCATATCCTCCACCTCTCTGCAACAGTGGAGTTGGAGGTAAGATGTTTTTATAAAAAGCCACATTACCTTTTCCATCTCTTCCATGAACACTAACCGTGCATTCATCATCTCATAGCAGTAAAGGCATGCTGCATCATTTGTACCCACTCGATCCTTTATATCCCCCTGCATATTATCACATTATGGTCATTTAAGTCATTTTCTCCTGCCTGATTCAGTTTCTCCACATCCAGTCACTCGTGTTTCTTTTTTTTAGAGGGCATCCTCTCATCCCGTCATTAATGCACCGTCTAAGAGCTTTTACTTCTCAATGAGCCATCATGTGACTTCAGTAGCAGCATGTCTCCTTCAGGTGTAATTACATTATTGAGCTTCATAGAGGCTCTTTTGTTGACATAAGAGGTTGAGGATCATATTAGCCCACTTGATATTCAGACATTAAGGGACAGCAGGCAGCTTCATTGATGTTTTACCGTCGTACAAGATGAGAGCAGGAGCCAGATATAGGCCACTGAGCTCTCAGACAGCAATCAGACATTTAAAGGGGACTTATTATGCTATGGGGTTTTCCCTTTCTTGTAGTGTTTCATATATTTTGTGCATGTAAATGGTTTGCAAAGGCTAAAATCCCTGTGTTCCCTCCCATCTGAAATCCCTCCATTGGATCCTTTGCTTACTTTTTAAATAATGACATCACTTTGAAACACTGGCACTTCTATCGACTAGCGCTCCAACACATTGTACTTCATAGGCTAAAGGGCGGGACATCTCTAGGCGGTTGACCAATCACAACAGAGCTGGCCAACTAACCAATCAGAACCATCATAATAGGGCCCCTTTGGTAACTTTAAACCGGTGCACTGATATCATTCTCTGTTCTGATTGCTTGGTTTGTAAAAGTAACATGTCAGTTATTTTAAACATTTAACATAGTGGTCCCATCCACCTTATTGGAGGACAAATATATTATCCTAAGTAAGTCACCTAATTTAGTTTTCCATTTGTCCATGACCACCCCTCTACCATTAATATCTCACTTTGTTTGTGCAGTTACATTTTCCACTGCATGATTATGTGTTTCAACATGTTTAAAACATTACATTTCAATTTTATCCTGAGGAAGTTGAACATAAATATACATTTGTTTGTATAACTACAATCCCACAATAGGCCTTACTGAAATAACACTGTGCGTAACTTCAGTGGATCAGATCAGTCAGTTTTCAACGTAACTACCTTAATTGTTAAACTAACCGAGTTGTAACACCACCAGTGGTTTGGATTATTTTACAGCGAAGCCTAACACGTTCAAGGTGTGCACAAAGCAAGGGCACTTTTTCATAACAGTTATGTTTGGAACATTTTTTTTACTAACCAACTATGATACTAAATAACAGCTACAAACCTGCTGCAGTACAGGGATACATAAGAGAGGAACTGCTGCTGATAAAAAAAACAGTGATAAATCATGTTTATATTCATACTGCAGCAGCTTAACTTAGGTGTTGTTATACTTTACACCATCTGTATTTCTCAGTTTGACGACCCTGCAGAGACCCATTGTAACTGAAGAATAACTGTTTTCCATCCACAGATGGTGTCAAAGCTCAGCTGGCGGCTGATGATAACTTGTGTCGCATCTGCATGGACGCCATCATCGACTGCGTGCTGCTGGAATGTGGTCACATGGTAACCTGCACCAAATGTGGAAAGAGGATGAGCGAGTGCCCCATCTGCAGGCAGTATGTAGTGCGGGCCGTGCACGTCTTCAAGTCTTAAAACTCTGTGTGTGAGCGTCGGAGCAGCCCTCAGGCGTGCACGTGCCAGAGCCCTGAATTTCTCCCTGAGGATGAACTGCTGTGCATGACGCCTCGCAGGGCCTAAAGCTGCACGGGCGCCGGCAACTCCCCGGTGTTTGAAACCAGACTGGTGCCTCTGGCCTTCCACAGTTTGTTTTTCCCCTCTTTACTAACTCATGTTCCAGACCCACTTCTCCTCCTGGTGGACCGTCATCAGCTGCACCGGGACACTCACTCTTTCTCTCTTTGGTCTGTTAAACACACAGTAGAATCACGTTCTGCTCTCTATTGGCTGTTGTTAGATTTTACTCACAGGAGAGGAGAGAAAGGGGAGGAGAGGAGGGGGTCCCACAGATACTTGAAGCGGATCGGATTGTTGTGTGCGGTGAAGAGGAGCAGAAAAATGTAAGATCCCAGGGTTAGAGTCAATATGGTTTACACAGTCATGCCACATGACACCATGTTATCTCCCTCAGTGTTCTTTTAGGATGTGCAATATCAGAAATGTGTATTTATTAATCCGAGCACCAGGTCATCTCGTCTCACACACAGGAGGGTGTAAGGTGCCAAACGTCATGCCTTTTTGATCGATATATGTTTAGGATTTCACAGTTGATGCGTTGCATCGCCAGCAAGCTTGGTGTGATAGTTTACTCTGTTTTTTCTCAAATGAAATTTAGGAAAAAAAGGGTGTAATAGTAAACATTTGAACACTTTGCTGTGTGAAGGATGTGATTGTTATCTAAAAGTGCACAAGTGCACAAACTCGAACGGAAAATAAACTCTTCTTGGTCACACCACAGGCTGCACTACATTCCTGTTACATGGCTTGAGCTTATTGGTAATTCAACTTATTTCAAAACAGCAGTTTGACAAAAAATATGAACTCAAGACTCGCTTTTTACTAGGTTTTCAAATTTCACGGGCTTCATCAGCAGTAAAAGGTCAGCATCCGTGATCTTAGGTCCATGACAGGAGATCCTGTGAATTGCCTCGTCCTTCTCCTGAGGAAGACCATGTGCTAATAAAAAGCTAATAGGTTAGCCTTGAGTGAAAGACTTCGTTTGTACTATTTTAATCTAGGAATCATCCCTCTTTACATTTAAATAACTGCCACCAAGCAATACCATTTAGTTTCCGAGTCTACCAAGTGTCTTTTCTTTGTGTTGTCCGTTGACATGTGGAAATCCTAGGTAGGTGACAGGTGCTATTTCCTCTTTTCTGAGTGTGACATCAACAAACCCTTTGTCATGTTGTCGAGGCGTCCCTCCAAATATCCATCACACAGTGAGAAGTAGAGGAAGCTTGGTTTACTTTAACCTGTTATGCAAAAGAAACATTTTGTTTTCTTGTCATGAGATCCATTTGACTCAGATGTCACTAAAATATCTGTGTGTACAGTATGCCTGTGGTACGTTTTTAAAAAATAAATAAAAAAGCTGTTAAGTGAATCGCATAGGTAGCTTATATTGTTGTTTACTTATAAGTCATTAAATGTATATTTTTCCATTCACTTGGGAGACAACATGATTTTAAAGTTATATTAAGATTAAATCTACCTTTCTTCAGAATGTATCTACTGGTTTTGGTCAGACGGTTCCTCATTTATCTGATCGTGTTACACTCACCATTAAAGTCGCGTCTGCCAAGGTCGCGCTTTCTAGCACTTTTTGTCGTCGTCTGCTTCAGATCTGAACTCTGACACATGTACTGTAACCAACGCTGTAACTGTACGTCTGTCTGTCGATGCTGCTGATTCTCAAAGATGTCATTCATGGGCAGCTACAGTACTTTCAGAGTAGGAGGTCATCATGAGCAGCACTCATAATCCTGGGTCTTTATATTTTGGAATGTTGAACCTTTTTATTTTGGGAAAATGATTTATTAGATTCAATAAAATGCAGTACTACAAACCAGAAAGTATAAAGCTGCTTTTCATTTGTAAACGGCTTGATTTTGTTCACTTTGACAGATGAGTGGTTGGCATTTGGTTAATTGTCACTTACAAACAATTTTACAAATCTGATTTGCAGTGTTTCTTTTTATAATTATGTTTCTTACTTAAAGGGCCCTATTATGTTCATTTTCCGGATTCATATTTGTATTCTGTGGCTATACTGGGACATGTTTACAATCTTTTAATGTTCAAAAAGCTCTTTATTTTGCTCATACTGCCTGTGCTGCAGCACCTCTTTTCACCCTCTGTCTGAAACCAGAGCCCAGTCTGCTCTGATTGGTCAACTGCTTAGAGATGTCCCGCCCCTTAGCCTATCATGTACAATGTGTTGGCGCGCTAGCAAATAGAACGAGGTGTGTGGGAGAGAAACTCCCTCTGGAGGGAACTTTGGGATTTTAGCCTTTGCAGACCATTTACATGCACACAAACCTAAACAAGACATTATAGGAAAGAGAAACCCCCCAAAAAGCATAATGGGGCTCCTTTAAAAAAAAAAAAGGCTTCAAATGCACACAGCTCAGTATTTAAAATGAATTTAATATCTGAAAGGTTGACTTAACTTTTCCTAGAGGCTTTACATGTACATTATGTACAGATTTACAGTTACTAAAATGTTCATGGAGACATAGTGGTTAAGTAAAAAAAACAGATAAAATGCAAATGTAAACCCATCCTCTGAAAATCAAACACTATTGCAAAGTTGCTTTTTCTTTAAAAAAGTTTTTTTCAACAGAAATGCGTACCTATCAAACCATTATTGATTTCTAAACATCTTCTTTTAAATAGCAAAATTATTGTTTTTTTAAATAGCTTCAAAAACGAATAAATGTGTCATTTGTGAAAAGGCTGCTGTCTGACAGCATCGGCTGCAAAGTACTTTATCTTCAGATGTTTAACTAAATTAAAATACAACTTTAAAGCATGATTTAAAATGAAAAGTCAGTGTCAATAGTGGTCTTCAGTATAATCTACAAAATAAAACAATCAACAAATCCTATTTTACTTTTACATATGCACAAATCTTTTATGAAATACATTTTTATTTTGCAGTTTCTTCAAATGGCAAATACTGAATGGCATCGGGCCATGATCCTGTCTCATATTTTACAAAAAAGAAACAGTGCTTTTGGTTTTTTAACAGGATTTCTTAACCTTATGTCAGAAGCTGGTGTTCGGAGATGGATGGCTCACTGGAATGATTTATCGATAATTGCTTTACATCTTCTAAATACGATATTTTGCCCTTTTGAAAAGAACAGTATTCTGCTCACTTTGCTCAAATGTGTGCGGTCAGGGGAACATTGAAACATACACGATACATTTCTTTACACATTGGACTTTTGACAAATAGGAGAAACATGTCTCTTCTATAAGATTTTTGCAAATGTGATATATTTTCCTGGACGTTGTGTCTTTATTTCCAGAATAATTCACACTGAGACCCTTTTTTTGATTATGGAGTTTGGATAATGACTGGAGTAAACAGGTGATTATATTGTTACACAGTTACTGAATCTATTGACTGTGGTGTAAGCATATTCCTTTGCTGCATGCGGAGATAAAGCGCTTCCTTTCACAAAGCCCCAGTAATGCGAAAGAGTGATGTAGACTGGCAGAGAGACGCTTGTTTGCAGCTATGTGTTAATATAACCCTGATAACTAGAAGCTGTTAGCAGAAATAGCCGGACATTGTTGAAAAAATATGCTTTGTACACTTTATAGTGTATGTGTGAAAACATTCATGTATTCATATTTACTGTATCAGTGCAAATGGTATCCTTATACGGAAAACAAAATGTACAGTACCTTAGTCCGAACAGAAACAGGGCACATAATAAAATATAAAAAATACAAACACAAGCTACCATCCTACGTTTTGGCAACATATAATTGGACCTTTGCCTCTCAACAATAAAGAGCGTAACAGTAATGCCGATTGATTATCAATTCAAATGGTATGATACTGTACAGTGGTGCATAAATACTGCACATAAATGTATGAAACACTTTCTGATACAAAAATATTACTCTAATGCAACAAACTTTGCATTTGAACAAAAAATAATCTATAAACACCAAAAGATAGTCATGATACAATACATAAACAATCAATATATAAAGAAATAAATAATTTATAAACAGGTGCAAACAACAGAAACATTTTTGCGATATTGCCATAACAGGACAAGATTTCCATTTTTTTTACATTCGGGCTTAGCAGCACAGCTTCCCTTTTCATGGTGAGACAGACAGACAGACGGTCCTGGTGTCTGTTGAGTCGTCTGCATATGTTGACGAAACACAGCGTCGTTCTCCACAAGTCATCTGCTGCCTCCATGTGGACAGTAGTTTCACTTGTTAAATGTCACAGTGTGCTCCTAGCTGATCTTTTGCAGCAGTTTCTCCTCTATCAATTCAAACTGCACGCTGACGGACATTTCTGCGATGAACTGGTCGCAGCCCTCCTTGGTCACCTGCTTGCAGTATCGCAGGTCGATGTGACAGACGCTCCCACAGCGCTTGAAGTAGGTCAGCGACTGGTCAGTGACCCTGTTACAGACTACAGGGAGACACCGTGTTAGGAGAGAAGGAACAAATGGAGTATAACGGGTCACCGATACTGACAAAAGATATGACATGCAGGGATTAATCAACACTAGGATGTTATAAGACGTGAAGCCAAAAGGTTCTCTATGGTGAGAACTGTTTGACACAGAAAGCCGAAATGCATTTGCCCCTCAGCTGCTTCCATAATGGCTCTCTAATTTAATGCTTTTCACATTTGATTGTATTGCTGGAACAAAGGTATCTGACTTCAATCTTTTAGCATTTGTGAAAAAAATACAACCTCTCTGAAATAGTTTCAACAGAAACCCTGATCAGATTTATTACAGGATTGTAGTATTGGACCGCATCATTTTTGACTAAGGTGTGCATATTAACTATTGCACTTAACCACAAAAAAATGCAGGTGTATGGATTTATTTACGTTTTTAAATCGACTAGAGCTGTAGTTGAGAATAAAAATACGACTAATGGAAAAGAAAACCGACAATAAAATAATTGCCATTATTTCAAAATCAAAATATTTGAATGCCAAAATGTCAGAAACTGCTTTTTTCAGCATTACAAAAGTAGAGATTTCCTGTTTTTCTCTGTATATCATATCAAAAATAATATCTTTGGGTTTTGGACTAACAAAACGACTTTGGGATGCTTTACTGGAATTTTTGTTTGTTAACCTTTTATTGCCACAAGGAAGGTGGAAGGTAGTAAACTTCTTGAAAAACGAAGCGCATACTTTGTATAATGCTCTGCAGGATTGTAAATTATGTTGTTACCTTAGAGGAAAATGTTCCAATTGCATCTATGGAATTGATGTATAGATTTAATGGATCCACTATCCACCGTGACTTTGCCATTCAATTAGGAATGTAGAATTGAGCCACTAGGGGGAGCAAGTCAAATGCAGGCGGACTTACAGCCAACCACGACCGGCTCCTACCTGACAGGTTGATGTCAGTGAGCGAGTCTCTGGTGGTCGTCCCGGCCGCCGTCAGGATGTTGACCGACTGGTCCGTGACGTGGTTGCAGTAGCTGAGGTCCAGCTTGGACAGCGAGGGCATGTAGCGGATGAGGAGGCGCAGAGACGTGTCCGTGATGTCCAGGCCCGCTAACCGCAGGACCTCCACGTTCCGCAGCTTACTCCTGTTGTCCAACTGACCTGCAAAGTATCGGAAACAAGAGGATGAATACATTATAATTCAGTTTATTTGATTTAGCCTTGCGCAAAAAAGGCAGTCAATATAGCACATTCTGTTATAGTAAGTTCCTTCTAAAAAAAAAAATAAATGCTTTGTACACTTTATAGTGTATGTGTGAAAACATTCATGTATTCATATTTACTGTATCAGTGCAAATGGTATCCTTATGGAAAACAAAATGTACAGTACCTCAGTCCGATCAGAAACAGGGCACATAATAAAATATAAAGAAAATACAAACACAAGCTACCATCCTACAGTTTGTAACTTTATCTTGTGCCATTGACCGTTATTGTTCAAAAACTATTTTCCCAACATCACTGAGCCACTGGGGGAAATGTTCCCTCATTAAGAGAAACAAGGACATGGTACTTTATTTTGAGTTAATCCCACATAACCAGAATGCTATAATCACTGAGGACCAATATAGTAATAATCCGCAGCTAAAAATTGTCGGAAAAAACACGCAGCGCTTTTCCTATGTGAGTAACTTTGGCTAAAAAACTGCAGAGCCTCTACTGACCCATTTTTAAATATAAATGTAATGTGGATATTCACTCTGAATAATTGTCATACTACTCCCTCTTGTTTTTAGCCACTGAAGCCTCTGAAAAGACTAATAACTATTAAGACAATCTTTTAAATGTTTCATGTGATAAAAATGTGTATTTCTTAAATTATTCCTACAAATAGTTTGACAGTAGTTCAACCAATATATATATTAAAAACATGTTCAGTCTTTAATAGTTGATACCAACAAATCTAACTCTAAATCTGCATATAATTCTCTTGTGTTGCTTTCTCACATAAATAAGACCATGTAAAGAAATATACTACATCACATTTTTCCATGTGTCTATGCATGTAAGGGGTTCAGTCAGAATAACTGTTTTCCACAGTGTGTGTGAAGGCAGGCTGGTACCTGGCCTGTTATCTGTAGGAGGAG